AAGTTAATTTAATGAATATTCCTGGGTATTTAATAACTGTTTATCTACTAATGTGTTAGTGAGTTTGAAAATAATGCAGTTTACTTTTATAAATAAGAAACAAGCCTCATTATAGCAGACAATACTCCTATTTTATATTTATTCAATTACCTAACTTAAAATACTACATAAATTAAAATATAAATCAGTAATATTTTAGGTATGCTGATGGATGAAAGCAAAAAAGTTATTTTTTTATACTCAAATTAATTTATTCAAATGTTTTAATTTCCTAGCATGTAATTCATTGAAACACTTTCATTATAAAACTATAACATTACATCAATTATACAGGTTTTTCTAAATACCTAATTAAATTTAATTATAGCTTAGACATCTACCCACATTATATCTTTCGACTTAACAGAGACTGTTTATGCAAGTGAAACTTATCTTCTATAATACTAAAAAAATTAAAATTTATATCTAGGTTAGCAGTTCTAAGTTGGTTATAATATTGTAAACTTTTCCTTAAATCTTTTCAAAAATACTTAATTAGTGGACACTTTATTGTTTGAACCTTCTTTATACAACATATTCCCATATCTTTCAGAGTTAATTTTGATAAAAGATGGCTTATTCATATATATTTAAATGGATAATTTAAATATCGTAAATGCTGATTTAAAATAACAGTAATTAATTCTAATGTAAAAAATAAAATTAATAAACTTACCTGATAATTTTTTTTATGATTTAGATAGCAATCAATTATATATAATATATTAACAAAACTATCAACTAAATAGTGTTGATCTTAATACTAATAATCTTCAGGAAATAAATGTTTCTAACTTTAATGAATTTGATATTTCCTCATCATTAATTTGTAGTAATTATATTATACTACTTTCAACAAATATTATATATTTTTATGATATCATAATAAAATAAACTACATTATTAAACTTTTCAAGTGATACAAAAATTTTGTTTATTTTAAAACTTTAAGGTAAAAACTTTTAGAATTATTCAGCAGATTGGTGGAATATACCTTTTAATTATGAGGAAAGATACAATAATAATGATAGTTAAAAATAAGAAGAAAAACTGATATTAATAATTACCGAAAAGAATAATTTATAAATGGTCTAAATAGTTAATATTAATTCTCAATAAATTATTTATTCTTATTAAATAACATACTCTAAAACCACTAACATAGTATGTGATCCTTTTAGAAAGTTAATATATTTAGTGAATAACAAAAGTCTAACTCTGGTATTTTCCTATAATTTAACTTTAATAACTAGTATTTAAAATGCTTGCTTGAAATAAGCAATAATTTCATTTGATTCTAATTATGTGTATTCTATCTGCCCAAATGATATTATCATATACAATGGTCTAAGTTTTAAATAATAATTTCCAATAATTAATTCAGGTATAAAAGAAGTATAAAACTTTATAAATACTATGTAAAATAATTACTTCATAATAATGAGTAAAAATAGTATTTAGTTGATCTAGTTAGATTTTTAATTAAACTATCAACTCATATATTAACTTAATTAAAATAATTAATAGCTTTAGAATATGTAGTTTACATCGGAAGACAACCAATAAACATATTTGAAACTATTATTTAGTTCTTATGATAGCATTTAATTTGTTAATATAGCGTTATAATTTAATAGCACCTGCTTCATCAAAATTGAGTAGCAAAATAGAACCTTAGAAAAAATTTATACAGATATTTCACTTATTTAAAGTTTAACATCTTTATAAAGTTCGAGTTAGAAACTTAAACAAATAGAGATACAGTATTCAGAGGGATAATGTTTGCAAAATATTGAACTTAAAGAAATTAATAGCAATAATCTTGACTAGAATTTTTAGATTACATTAATAAGTAAATCTGATTCACAATTAACAAATATTTGTTGGTCAGATATAGGTATTTACTCTGAATTTATTTAAAACTTTTATTTGAAGAATATGAACTTAATAATTTAAACTAATTTAAGCTTAAATGAAAATTAATAAATGAAATACTTTTAAATGTTTAATGTTACATTAAATATTTAAAAATTTATTAAATTACAAAATTATGATAAAGTTCTTTTGTAAAATTTAGCAATCAACGATTAAAATTTAGGATAAAATTAAGTTATAATTCAAAATTGTCAATTAGTATTAATTGAATAAGTGGAAATAACAAACATATAAACATTGAATTCTCTTTTTATGTTAATTAATAACACCAATGTAATTTATAAATC